AAAAAAAAAAAAAAAAAAAAAGAAGTGAGGACCGTGACACTGGTCCCAGGAAACATCTACCTTAATCAGTGCCTGGAAGCCCCAGGAGTCTTGTCCCTGGGTGAGACTGCTACCCAGAGGGAGATTGTCCTGCACCTGAGCATTGGACATGCTGGAGGCTATGTCTCACAAAGGGGTTCCCCACCACCCCATGGGTGTTTGCCACACTGTCAGCCTTGCCTATCCCCTAGGTGCTTGGGCCAGCTTGAGATAAGGTTCTTGCCACTCCCTCCACCTATAGTCACTCAAGAATCTGGGAGGGGTCCCAAGGCACCTGTGCTTTCAGGCAGTCCCTGGTGATGTAAGCAAGGTTTGGGGATCCTATTCTCCCAGGCTGAATCCAGACACCCACTTTCCTAAGATCATAGGTGAAATTGGTGCTGGTGTCCTTCTCTCCAGCTGGGTGTTTGCTCCAGAGAACCCTTTGTGTGCACAGCCCTGGGGAGTCCAGGAGGGGTGGGCCAGCCAGTCATTTGTGGAGGCCACTGGGGACCAGTAGCCCAGATGCTCCTGTCCCAGGGCCATGTTCTTAAGCAGGAGACCTACCTGAGGGCCATGGGGGCTGCTTAATTCAGAATTGGGATGGAATTGGAGTACTGTTTGGGGTGGGTAAGAGCTTCTGGGGTGGCCCTGCACTATCACTGCCCTGGGGTTTTGCAGGAACTGTGCACCTGGCCTCCAGGTGAGACTGAGGTGGGGAAACAATAGCTTCTACTTAAGGGCAGGATGGCAGAGGGAGGGGCTTGGGATAGGAAAAGGGTGAAGGGATGGCAGCCCCCAACTTCTGGTAGCAAGAGCGGCGGGCACTGGGTCAGGCAGTAAGCATGTGCGGTACTGAGGACATCAGCTTCATGTGACCACAGGGCATGGGAGGTTGGTCTTGGTCTCTGGAGCTTCTACTCATATGATCACTCATGGGGGGGGGGGTCCCTTAATGCCTCAGTTTCCCCACCCACCATGGTGCTGCAGGCTGTGCTAAAACCAAGCTGGGTTGGTCTCTGTGGAGGATTGGGGCCTAGGAGCAGGTGTAGGCAGCTGCTGGGTGGGTAAATAAGTGAGGCCCTGGGTGAGTGAGCAAGGCCCTTGGGCTGCTGTGCTAGGGCCCTTCATGGGCTCGGGGGCAGATCCTGGGTTCTGGATTTATCTTTGTGGATAAAGACTTTGTTTATGGAATTGTTTTGATGGAATTCAGGTGCTCTCCATGAGGAGGCTGGCAGTGCTGACCAAGCAGAGCCTGTGTTCTCTGGGGTGTCCCCCGCTTCCTTTTATTGGCCCTATGCTCTTTGTGGTGTCAGGTGACTGTTGACTTTCTGGGTGACTCCTGCCCAGGGCTTCAGCAGAAATGAGTTGGACCTTGAGTCAGTCCTTTTCCTCCATGAAAGTCAGGGACAGCTTCTGAGCATGGGGGAGGAGGGGTCCTCTGATTCTGCCTTCACTTGTGAGGGGCTGGCCTTCAGAGGGAACTGAGTATCCCCGATAAAAGGTTGTGACGTTCTGAGAATTGGTTTTCAAAAAAACACATCTAGAATTGTATCCAGCTGCCATCTCCCCTGGAGGGTTCACGACCTGCCTTCCCCTCTGTTTTCATCTCTACAGAGGTCCTGCCTCTGGGACAGCATGCCACTGGCAAGGTTGGGGGAAGGTCTGTCTGGGTTCCCTTACCTCAGTGAAGCTGAAGAGCTTGTGTCCACCTGGGTGAACCTCATCTGGGCAGGCAGGTGCAGTCACCTGGCCCTCACCAAAGGCACTTTCTTTCTGATGCTTTGACCTTTCTCTTCCCAATCAGGGTCGATCTTTCTTCTCTGCACAAGGAGATCATGGCAGAAATTTTACAAAGTATGGTCAGGGGTTCCCTTTTGTGTGTGTGTAGAGGGCAGGGCTGTCATATTATCTTTGCAAAAAGTTTCATTTGTCTAATCCATGATTTGGTTAATCAATAATTAGTATTTAATTTGATTCAAATATGCCCCACGGTGACAACCACTGTGTCCTCTTCACCCAGGGACATCCTGATCACCAGCGTGGACGCTGCCACCACCTTTGACGAGCTCTGCGAGGAAGTGAGGGACATGTGTCGCCTGTGCCCACAGCACCCGCTCACCCTCAAGTGGGTGGACAGCGAAGGTAGCCCCTCACCCCACGGGCTCCCTGGGCAGCTCACCTTCCTCTATGAGGAGGGTTAAAACCATGGAATTAAACTTGTTAGAGCCAGCTTTTCCCCAGGAAGGATGTTTGGAAAGAGGTTGGCTGTGAGGACTTGAATGGAAACAGGGCTTGGAGGTGGAGAGAGTGATGGGGGACACACTTGGAAGGAGGCCATCCTGCCGTGTGGCAGCTCTGGTCTTAAACCCTAGGGAGGAGCTGTAGGGTTTCCCTGACCCCACCAGGGGCAGGCCCTTGCCTCTTGACCAACCTTCTGTTCTCAGATCCTGGGCTTTTCTGGCAGGGGTTTGAAAAGATGAGTTCTTCATTTTCTCAGGGAGAGTGGGGAGGGCAGGTGCAGTGGGCTACAGCGCCCCTCCCTCCCCTCCCCTCCTCTTCCCTCATCTCCCCACCCCTCCTCTCCCTTCCCTTGCTCTCACAGTCAGACTCACATCTTAGAAAACTGGGGAATTGGGAGACAGTGCAGAGAGACCCCTTTCCCCTGCATGACTGACTGGCATGTGTCGGGCGAGGACGGGGTAGAGGGCGCAGGGCCTCACAGCTGCTGTGTTTCAGTGGGATGCGCCCATAAGTCCATGCATCTCTGTGTTCCTGTCTGGTGGTGGAGGGCAAGGAGCCTTTCCCTTCCGTGTAGGACTGTCCGAAGTGGACGTCCTTCCTCTTGCTTACCAATTGCTCTGCAGATGTTGCTCTCAGGGCCCAGGGAGGGCTGATTTCCCGTCTGGGGATGGATCTTTCTGATGTGAGCTCTGAGGGCTGGGTGGCTCTTGGTCTGGATGGCCGTTCTTGGGCCTCCTGAGCCTGCTGGGGGGTGGCCAGTCATGGTGGTAAGGGCTGAGCGGGCACTGTCAGAGACATCCTCGCCTCAGGCCTTCGGCGGCCTCAGCACTGTGTCTTGCCCTGCCCAGGTGACCCTTGCACCGTGTCTTCCCAGATGGAGCTGGAGGAAGCTTTCCGCCTGGCCTGTCAACGCAGGGACGAGGGGCTCATTATTCACGGTCAGTGATGGTGGTCTGTGGAGATAGGGGCTCTTGGGGCTATCTTCTGGTGTGGGCATCTTTGCCAGACCACCTGGGGATTGGAAGGATGTCGAATATAAGGCTATTTGGGTCTATTTTCTCTCTCTTTTTTTTTTTTTTTTTTTGA